GTCCCAGCTATGACCTGGGCTGCGTCATCCGATATTGTCCGGAAACCGGAGCACACTCTCAGGGCGCACAATCTGTGCGTCGCTTCCAGACCCCTGATGTAAGACTGCCTGTTGGTAGCTTCGGCCCATATGGGGGCTGCGTAAAGTGCTGTCGCCCTACAGACAGACTGTAGCAGAAGCCTGCGTCCCTGCCTAGGGCCCCTACAGTTGAGCATTATTCGTGCTAGGGCCCTAGCGACGCTCGCCGCCTTCCGATTTGTCTCCGCCAGGTGTTCTTTAAACGACTAGCATAATTCCAAGGTAACTGATTGCCCTTACCGACGTGATGGTGGCGCCACCGACTTGGATGGTGGCTGTCTCGACCTGCTTGCGGCTGGATATCAGCACGGCCTCCGTTTTGTGATCTGCGATATCTAGCCCGACCGATGTGAGCCACTCCACTATGATGCAGATAGATGCATTACCAAGGCCCTCGGCTTCCCGAACTGTTTTTGCCACAACTACTATGGCAATATCGTCGGCGAAGCCGATCACCTTGATTCTCAGCACCCCGTCGTACATTGCATTCCACAGCAGTGGCCCAAGTACTGAGCCTTGTGGGACTCCGCAGGTTACCCTGTGCTCCAGTGTGCCCCCTTCTGTGTCGTAGACTAGTACTCGGTCGCTGAAGTATGACTTAAGAATGCCCACTAATGCATCCGGTACGCCTAGGTTCCGTAAGGCTCCTATGGTGACGTCCCATCTTGCCGAATTGAATGCATTACGGATGTCTAGTGTCACCACTAGACAGTACTCCTTGGTGCCTCCTTGCCACCTAGTCCCTTGCACTGCCTTCGAAGCGATCTCCTTCACTGTAGCGATCGCGTCCACGGTAGATCCCACCTTCCTGAAGCCAAACTGCATTGGCGAAAGGTCCCCTGCAGCGGAGATGGCTACCTGCAGTCTACTGCTAAGGCATCGCTCGAAAGCTTTGCCCAAGTGGTCAATCAGGCATATCGGCCTGTATGACGATGGACTCTCGGGAGGCTTGTTTGGTTTTGGAAGAAGTACCAGCTTCTGTCTTTTCCAGCGCTTTGGGAAAAGGCCTTCCGTGAGGCACTGCTTGAAGACCTTTGCGAATGCTTCCGGGTGCTCGTTCATTCCTAGCTTGATGGCGATGTCCGGGATTCCATCTGGCCCTGATGCTTTTCCCGATGGCATATCCCTGGCTACATTGCGAATTTCATCCGATGTGAATATCAGTGCCGATGCGTCCGCAGGAGCCGCGTCTGCAGCTTGCGGAGCCAAGGGCACTACTGGGACAGGTGTTCCACGATCGCCGTCATGTGGGCGGCGTCTCAGGCTTTCAGAGGTTTCGCTTGACTTAGCTTTTTTATTACTATTTTATACGCTGATCCCCATGGGTCCTGTTCGGCTGAATCGCATAGATCCAGGAAGCATCTCCTTTTTGACTGCTTGATGAGTCTCTTCAGGGTCAGACGGTTTACCGCGTATTCTTGCCTCCGGAACTCGTTGTTGGGGAGGCCCTGCTCCCTTTGCTGACGCCGTCTTGCCCGTAGGCAATTTCTGCGTGCCTCTGCGATCTCCTCTGTCCACCAATAGACTGGCTCCCGATGACGGTGATGGCTCCTCGACACCTTCATACTGGCTCTACATGCCGTCTCAACTGCTCGAATGAGACACTCTACGCTGTCCACTGCGTTCCCGCCGATGTCAGGATTCCCAAGTTCCCTCAGGAACGTGTCCCGCTGGAGCGTCCTTGGGTTGAAGTGCCTTTGCGTTGGTCGGGCTGCGGTGCGTCTTCTGCTGGTAAGGTCACAGATTATCGCTTTGTGGTCACTGGCCGTGTATACGTCGCTGAGGGACCATTGTGCGCGCTGGAATAGCGAGCTACTGCAAAAAGTGAGGTCCACTACCGACCCGGCTCCAGCTCTGCTGAAGGTGTGCTCCGATCCCGTATTTAAGAGAGCGACTTCCAGCGACGCGAACGCTTCCTGGAGGGTTCGTCCTCTTGCGTTCGTGTGGACTGAGCCCCATTCTTCCGACCAGGCGTTAAAGTCCCCCGCGATGACCACGTTCCGCTCTCCTCTTGCGTCGTTAGCCAGATCCTCTAGGATTGCTGAAAACTCCTGAAGGGTTAGGCGTGGTGGTAGGTAACAGCTGTACAGGCACAGGTCACCAACCACCCCCCGGACATAGAATGAGCCGATGCGCAGGTTCCTTGGTCGGCTTACCCCGTTGGTCAGGATCGCGGCGCTCCTTGTCTCGTCGAGTATGTAGTCCATCCCCGGGGTTCTTATATATGGCTCGCTAATAAGAGCAACGTCGGCTTGAGTTTCGCGCATGGTTTGGCTCAGCAGGTGGTGCGCAGTTTCGCAATGGTTGAGATTAATTTGGATAATCTTCACTTTCTCAGTGGCTTGGTACTCATAGGGCATCTTCTGCTACCCGCAATGTGCTTTGCGTCGGCTTTCCTGGCACTGGTGCATAGGAAGCATTTGGCCTCTTGTGTGCAGCTGGCTATCTTGTGCCCGGTTTGTCCGCACTTGACACAGCAGTCGCTGCGATTTGCAGGGCTCTTGCATCGTACCGCAATGTGGCCGAACTCCAGGCACTTGAAGCACCTAGATCTAGCCTCGCTCTCCTTGACTCTGCAGACTGTCCATCCCACCTTCAGCTTTCCCTTGGTCAGGACCGCTTGCGCCTCCCTACACTGCAGGCCTATTGTTGCCGTTTGGGTATCCCTGAAGGAGGGTCGAAGGCTTCTCAGCTTTATTGAGCTTGGGTCAATATTAAACTGATCCGCCAACGCCTTTGAAAGGTCCTCTGTAGCGACTAGTGCGTAAAAGTCGCTAACCGATAGGAACTGCATCCTCGAGTCCTTTGACAGCGCTCGCACAGTCGCAACTCCGTCCAATACTGCTTCTAGATCGCTCTTCATCAGCGTTGCTTTTCTGTCGCCATCCCTGTTCAGCTCGAGCAATAAGCTGCCGCTCGCTGTGCAGCGGACCTTGTGGACACTCTTTTCAAGCTCCTGCAGTTGGCCGTCGCTTCGCCTCGTAACCAAAGCCAAGACCTCGCTGTAGGTCTTGCCTTTTGCTTCCACAATCACCGCGTCGGGTCTCCGCGTCAAGCGTGCTTTCTTCCTCGCCTCCACCTTCGTCCATGCGTCTAGCTTGCCACGACTCTGAGTTTCAGCTTGCTGTGCCGTTGCTTTCTCCGCTATCTTCGCCTGCCGCTTTGGAGGGTGGGAGTTATACCGCTCCAACTCGGTCGCCAGTGCCCCTGCTTTGGGTGTACCGCGTGCGCGGTGGGTTTGGCTATTGGTCTCCTCCTTGACTTTTAACACCTATAACTACGAGCCCGAGTCTTTTGGGTCAATTTTCACTGTGATTCCATGAGTTGTCGTCAAGGATTCTCATCAGCAGCCCAGGAAAGTATGCTACAACCAGCGCCAAGATCGTTTGTCGAGTTGCATAGCAAGTAGCTGTTGACAGTTGGCGATAAGAAGTCCCCGAAAACCACAGCGCCACCTGTGGTTGGAGGCGCTTGCGGCTGTCGTTTTCCAACACTGAGTAAACAGCTGACTTAGATCAGTTGGCGTGACATTGCATCTCGCGTTGCACAAAAAAAAAAAAAAGGGGACGAAAGAGAAAACTGAAGAGAAAGCTCCGAATAATTCTCTCACCCTGACCTATCCCATGGCCCTGGAGGTCTCAGCCGGCGGACGGTCCATGGAACTCCGGAGATCATGTCCTCACCGGGTAAGTGCACTGGACAGCATCGCTGATATAGGCCGCAGCCCCTGGCGCGTCCCAGCTGACTCAGCGCGTAAAATTTTGGAGTTTTTCCGGGAGCGCCAACATGATGCAGCCGTCTTCGAACACTTCGCGCCACGCGAAGTGTGTGTGCGTGTGTGTGTGTGGACGAATGTGTATGTGTATCTATGTCCCGGCCAACATCTGTTGAGCATTCAACGACGGTCAGCTGCATTGGCCATTGAAACGGAAATGAGAACTCAACGCAGCGGAAATTTAATAACGACCAACAATTTAGCAATGGAACTGGGGAGCGGGAATGATGGTGGAATGCCAGAGGATCGTGCACACAGCCAGAACAAGAAGGACATATTTATGCGGCCATCCAGTATCCACCATCGAAACCAGCTGCGACCACGCCCTCCAATTGTTGTCCATTGACAAATGACCATTTCAAATGTGAAATGGCAATTCAATTGATTTCTCTGCGCCAAACCGTTTGCAATTGAAATGAAAATAGTTCGAATATGTTTCAGCCATCGGCCGCTGACCTTTTTAATGATGATTTAAAATGATTTAAATGATAATATGATTTAATCTTCGCAGAGCAATTACAATTCTTGCGAAGCCAAAACCCAACTCATTCAGCGTTGGAAATTCCATTTGGCCAAAGCCTAAGCCAAAAAGTAAATTTTCCATTATTTTAAATGAACTCCAGTCGCTTGGATTGTCCCTCCCATTCTGTTTCCATTCACACGGGACCACAATATAAGGAAAATTTGCATAACAAAAGGCTTTTCCAGTTGCTGCACAATGCAAACATTGCTAAGTCGATTCTTAATTTTCAATTAAAATCCAATTTATTTATAGAAGGAGCGTTTAAAAAAGTTTATCTCGCATTGTTTTTTCCAAGCGAATTATATCCTGCGAAACGAGTTAAACGTGATTGAGAATGTCTAGGCTGACGATGACCGTTATTTTTAGGTTGGAAGCTGTTCCAAAAACGTAATATAAGCTGCCACTCAAGAAGATTAATAACACGCGACATCGAGAATAAACTAAATAAATAGCACTTATAATCGAAGTGAACGAAAAATGAAAAATTGTTTTTACAATTTACAAAGGTTTATTAAGTCAATTTGGTGAACAAGGTGACAACGTGTGCACACTTTACAAAAGCGAGTATTAAATAGGAAATATTGAAATATAAAATTATAGAATATGTTAATTAATTGTAAGTGTTCATTTTTTTTGTGTCTTCCTCTTAAACTCGAAAAACTGTACTAGACCCAATCTATTATCCTTTTCCATATAATAGCACTCGGGATCCAATCTTTTGACTAGCCTCCTTAATGAGTCGTCAGCAGCTAAATGAAGACTAAATAAAAAACTAATCATTGTCAAATCAAATTGATCTCTCATCTCCTTGATTACATCCGAGTAATTTTGACAGGTCCAACGAAACTGCAGCATTCGTTCCCTGTAAAAGTTGGAAACTATGCTTTGTGGTTTGTGCGCACGAACTTTAATCACATAGTCCTCTGAATTTTGACTTAGTTTTAGGAACTTTTGCTGCTTGTCATCAAGTTTTAGTATGAGATCATAAAGTCGCCCCAGATATTGATGGGATTTTCGTAGATTTTTTGCTTGCAGGGATCCAAACATGATGGTTCTCAAATATTTTCTATTGGCGTCCAGTAATTGGTCGACGGTATTTGCGTGCTCGCAGGCCAACAAAAGTTTCGCGAATGCTGGCTCTAATAGATGGTTAAAGAAATACTCCCTTAGAACACTCATCAGGCGCATACAGGCGTTTATCAACTTGGAGAAACATTTAAATGTCTCATTAAGGTCTTCAAAATATTTGAATTCAATACGATTGCGAAACTGCATCTGTTGCCTATGTACTCTTTCACAGAGCACATAGTAAACGTAATGGAATCTCCACATTGCGCTGAAGATAGCCTCATACTCCTTGGAATCCCCGCCGAGTAAAGCTTTCCAATGAACTGGCATCTTCCATCGGAGTATGAGCATTGACCAACACCTGGATCCCTCGGACTGGCTCTTATCAATATAGATGTCCGGAACTGGTTTGTGCAACATTTTATCCTTCATTTCGTTAAAAAGTTGTATATTGAAGGAACTCTCGGTATCACTAAGGATGGGCTCGAACATTTTGAGGAACTCATTGGTAAACTCATGATCCGTAAGCATTATGTACCTATGCAGCTCAGAAAACAGGTGCTCCGGACTGGTCTTAATCTTACGAAGATGTTTTAGAACCTTGCAGGAAATTTCCAAGTGCAGTTTTCTAACAAAATTGTAGAGTGGTTCCTGATCGCCATGCCGGAAGAACTGATCGAATGTCTCTAACAACATGCAGCGAAGTTCTTTTCTAGGCAGACAAGTTTCAACGTTAATGGCCAAATACTTATCTGAGTATTTCAGAGTTTTGCCGACACTTATCAGAATTTCACTTAGCTGCGGGTCGAAAATACCAGAGAAGAACTCTGTGATGCAGTAGCGATTTTGCCAAAATTCTTCTATCTTTGAAGATTTAGTTTGTTCAATGAGAAACTTATCGAGATTAGCAGAAGGGAGTCGACCGTTCAAAAGCCATTGGTAAAGATTAAATATAAATGGTTGAATTACCACTCTTAACCATTTGAGTAGTAAGTTTCTTTGATATCCGGTTCTTCGCCTTGATTCCTCATAAAGGGATACCACAGCAGACTTTGCTTTCTGAACATTGTTAAACACCTCTAGTAACCACTCAAATTGCAGCTGAAAATCTCGAGTGCTCTGATACAAGGAAAGCAGTGAGCAGGGATTTCTTTTCTGTGCCTCATAAAATTGGTGGAAATTGAGTAGATACTTTTGTAGACATTTTCTAAGCGCAACAGCAGTATCGCCCTGTTCGGCAAGCATTACCTGATGTCCTTTCAGCTCCCGATAAAAGTAACCCAAGTGACCGATGGTCAACAGCAGATAGGACTCACTTATGCTCTTCTGATGCTGAGGTGAACACAATAGTAGTCTTCCTGTTAATGGCGATACCTTCAAGTGGGGCGATCCGTAGCCCATCATTCCATGAAGAGCATCCGTGAATAGTGACTCTGCAGATAAATCCTGATCACCTTTATCCCTCGCCTGCCAGCGCAAGGATTCATATACGGTTTTTTCCTTTCTAGTGAGCAGCTGTTCCAACTTTCCTTTTCCAACAATAGTTATCAAATCGGGAAAGTTCACATCCTCGGGTGCTTCTCTTATGACACGTTGTAGAACCTGACTTAGCTTGGCTTGTATCGATGCGGTAATTGTTTCACAGCCTGCACAGTATTTTTTGTGTCCCGTGATCTCGAAAAATTGATCCAGTTGTTCATATAAATCGGGAGCATTTGGATCATCAGGGACCCACTCATATGCAGGGTTCGACTTAAAGGACTTAATTATAACGCGAGGGGCGGCAATGACATAACGTTGATGGTGCCATTTTGGTCTAGATTTTCTAATGAACTCACTTTCTACGGAAGTAGCCTCAGTCACATTGCATTTTCTTTTTTTTATACAAAATCCTTCTGCAAAGTATTTATCCTCCTCCTTTGAATAGTCCACCTTTACATTACAATTTTTGCATAAGTAAAGAATTTGATTACTGTCCTTACTGGACAGCTGTTTTTCAGAGCATTCGCTTAATTCTGAAGTTTCTGACTTTTGGCTTACATTTTTCGGGGGCTGTTTTCCAAGTATAGCTTCAGATATAGATGTGTTAACATTCTTCGATGGATTTACCTTAACCACACTTTCCTCAGACAAATCAATTAAAGTACTTTCAGCTGTTGTATAAATTATTTCCTGGCTTTCATGCTGCTTTCTAAAATATTCTTTAGATTCTCTATTCTTTAAAATGTCAGAAACACCTAAGGTTATTTCCGACAAAGATTTATCCACTTCATTCAAAATGTTGATCTTGACATCAGTAACCGTTTGCGTAATTTGACTTAATATCGGTGAAAGTTTGTATTGATCATCGGGCGGGTGACCTGCAGTTAACCTTTGACCTATATCAGAGAACCCCTCCAAGGTATTGGTGCTTAAATTACATGAAGATGGGCTAAGTTCTTTCGAACCTTCAATATCTCTTCCAACTAACATGAGGGTATCCTCTTCAACGTCTTCATCCAAGGTATTATTGCTTAAATTACATGAAGATGGGCTAATTTCGTTCGAACCTTGACAATGTCTTCCAACTAACATGAGCGAATCCTCTTCAACGTCTTCATCTTTAATAGTAATATTTATACTGGAAATATCGGACAAAAACTTATCCATCTTCTCTAAAACGTTATCGATTTCATTTGGAACGTTTAGCCTAACATCTCTAACCGTTTGATTTACTTGACTGAAAATCGGAGAAATCATTTCCAGATTATCCGGATCACAACATGCCTCGCAAGTATCAATGCTTAAATTATGAGTTGATGAACTTAAATCTTTAGGATCTACTATATGATCTGCCATATCCTTATTTTTGCTGTTTTCAACCAGCAAGCAGTTTGAAGCCTCCTCTTCTTTTATAACTTTCTGCTGAAATTCTCCAGCCGACTGTCTAATTTCACTTAATATCGGTTCAGTAATTTCCTCATAACCCTCTTTAGCAAAATATTGTTCAGATTTTACTGGTGTTGTCTCAACATTGCAGATATCGTTTGAGCCATCATCACATTTGGCCATTTCTTTATGTAATGGAGCTGTTTGATTTTTTTTATACAATTTCGACATGGGCTTATCAAGCTTATTTCTAGGATTTGGGTTTGATGAAACCTTTTTTGAACTCACTGACGAGTAATTAGACTTACACGATTTGTTTTGGAGTATTTTATTGACCGAATCCTTGGGCGGATAAATATTTCTTGGGTATTGCCATCGAAGCACGTCTGTAAATCTGGAATTTCGAAAGAAGTTTTTCGGCTCGTTTTTAGCTATTTCCCTGGACGGTTTGCTCAAAAGTATGTGAGAAGAATTTTGATGGGTCAGTTCCAGGGACTTGTCCACTTCTTTCAAAATATTTATCTTTATATCACTTACTGCTTGTCTTAGTTGATTCAGACTCTGATCCTCCAACTTTGTCGATACGGTTGGCGATTTCAAATTCTTTTTCTGTATGGTGCTTTTTCCATCGGCTTCCATTTTTTCAGGTTCAGATAACGTTTGAAATTTGTTTTCTGTATCCGGCAATTGTTTTTCCAGTACTTCATTTATTGAATCGAGTTTTTTTTTATAATCTACAAATAAATCCTTCATCTTTTCTAGATTGCTTTGAGTAGGTTTATCAAATTTGCTTCCTGAAAGTGTACCTGCACTTTTTTTGAGGGGAAAGTTACAAGAATGAATTCCTATAGGAATTTTACATGCTCCTTTATATGAACTTTTCGTTGAACAAGTAGCAGTAGTATTATAATTAAAAGGTTGAGTAGTTTTAGGAAAACTATGAGAATCATACAGCTTGAATTCCGAATTTATGGAGATTTTATGACCTATTCGATCTTTTTCTATGGTAAACGGAACAATATTCTCAACATCTCTCCGATCAAAGATTAAGTCTTTATTTAAAGAACTTTTAGATACCTTTAGTTCCTTGGGCAATTCATCATTTTTGTCTGTGCCTTTTTCATTAAAAACTGAAGAAACAAGTACAAAATTATTTTCAGAGCAGCTTTCCAAATTGCGAATAGATTTTTCCACTGGTTCCACGGAGGAGATAGTTTCTTTACAAGCAAAAGAATCATTTACAGATAGAAAGACCCGATCCATAAAAGAAATGTAAGCCGAATCTTCATGTGAAGCAATAGAAAAATTGTTTTCATGAACATCTGGTGAGATCGATTCCATTTGAAAATCATTTTTTGAAGGCTTCGGATCTTTTGGTTCAGATCTTAAATTTTTATAAGTAACCAAAGTGATGACATCATCGAATCTAATGCCTTCTAAAGGGCAGTTAATTATTTCTCTATAACTTTCGATTACACTAAAACCTTCAACATGTAACTTTTCAGTATGCACTTTGCGTAACTCAACTTTTTTATCTCGATTGCATTTTTCCTCATTCATGCCCACAATCCTAGATGAGCTTTTTGTGTCTACTTCATTTGGGACTATTTTCGATTCCAAATAAATATTCACTTTGGAGGCGGAGGATATTTCTTTAGCATTCTGAGTTCGACTGAGTCGTTCCAGTATGCATTGAACCTGGCCATGCATACGATCGATTAGTTCCATGCGATAAGTAAACGACTCTTGGGGCCCGCTTAGTTTTGGTTTGACGGACTCGAATAGATCATAGAAAAATGCTAGGTACTCGCATCGTTTTATTTCATTAGGCTCTATGTCCACCAGTTCCTTATAGAGGCGCATAAACAAATCTCCCCTTGTCTCGTGAAGAGTTCTTTCCTCGGGATCCTTTCCGTGTTGCAACAGTTTGAATTGCATCCGAAAATCATTAAGGAACACCAGCTCTTGGGAACTGTTAAAGGTCGTATCGCTTTTGGCTAAGAAATTTACCGATTTTTCCACATCGTGATTAATGTTACGAAGACTGACACTCAATTCCAAGATGCCCATATGCAGATCATAGGCCTCGGCATTGCCATCCTCTCCAGTGGCTTGCTTAAATATATCCGCCATTTCTTCATCTAGTGCAATTTTAATTGGCTGTGTCTCCATTTTTAAAAACCGATATCAGTTAATCTAATGAACAAAGTTAACAGCATGCATGCCTTATACTAATCAAAGATATCTTACCGCTAACAAGATATCGAATTTTGGCACATTTTATATAAATTTGTGGCTTAATTCCGAAACTTGATTAATATCTGACTAACAAGATTTTCAGTGCTACATGTGTGTAATCAAGCAAATGAGATTTTAGTTTCCTCGTTTTTTTATATTCCAGTTCCTATTCCGCAGCGCCATTCACAATAATTAACCCATAAATCTGTCACAAGATTGTCGACAAGTACAAAAACTAAAGCAAGCCATGTAGTGTACGTAGTTCGATAGATTTTTAACTAGTGGGTCTTTTAATAGTGGGTGATAATTACTAATAAAGAGGACCTTGTACTTCCTTCGCTAGGGATGCGCACTCTTGCTATGCTCGGGTCTAGCTCGCCGTAGGTCGGGGTTCTTTTAGCTTAGGATAGTACGAACGCTACTACATTTTAATAAGTGCGTCTTACTCATAAACAATATTCAAAACTGGATTATCGATTAACAAAAGAAATGGCTTTATATTGATACTAATGATACACGCCGACACGTGTGAAGATAGGCTACAGATTCTGATAAGTATTGGGAATTTCGGATGTTAATGATTCCCTAAGTCTTTACCCTCCCTACCATGACAATGCTACTTAAAATATTTACATTGTCCCTTGGCCAAGTTCATAATAACTCTACCACATATTTAAGAAAGTGTTCAACATAAGTACTCGACAAACCATTAAATCTATTTATTCACAATTCATTATTTTTCAATATATCTTCAATCATAATTCCATTTATATAAATTCAGTTTGGTAATCGTTTCCATTAAATCTCTTTTACAAACTAACAATTTTTAATCTACGCATGATTATCCTAGTCATTCTCTAACTCTTCATTTTCGTTTATATTCCGTAAGTAAAATAAAGTATATAAAAGTAAAGTATAAAGCAAATATATATAAGTAATTGAATATAAAATTAGCAAATATAGTTACATAATCTTTAGTCAAATGCAGATATTATTTTAATTAGACGTTCGAGTGGCATTTTGTTAGAATTTTAATATAGGTAATTCATAATAAGATTTATATCATTGTTGTTGTAGTACTCACGACCTTAAATATCCACTCCATGATGTGCGTAAAGTTGGGCCCAAGTTCACGTTGACATTGTCGAGCTGTAGGTCAAACTTTAAAGGTTCTAAGTCGGCTGTAGAGCAATCACATGCTCTTACATAGGCCTGGCCTTCCTTACGCCTTGGGGTCGAATCTCGTTGCCACTTTCACACGAATCGAACACGGAAATTTATTGAAATATACCAACTCTTGTTTTTATGAGATTGGATATATATAACTAAATTATATTTCCACGTGTATGAAGTTTAAACGGGCAGCGTCAAAAATTGTGAGCGTTCGCCACGAAGATTTATCCGATAATGATCTAAGCTCTGGGGAAGCTGCATGCTGGTGGTCGCTGTTACAGCTTTTGTTTCCCTAACTGTATAATCGTACGATCATATTCTGTTCTGATTGGCCTAAGACAATTCTCTCGCTTTTTGTTTTACACAAAAGCTGCTATAATTTAGGGCGAGGGTGTCTTGAAGAGTTTTTGCAGTGTAAAGTTAAGTTGGTCACTACAGCCATTCAGCAAAAATCGCGATGCCTGTGCACCTTTTTCAGTTTCTGCCGGAATAGAAGCAACCGCAACCTTTTGCAACCTTTCGCAACTCCCTGCCAACGAATCTCCCTGCCAACGAACTCTGCGCCGCGAATCTCGAGTTCTTGGGGGAATGGAGAGTTGGAGGTGCTGGAAATGTATGACGCTACTTTTAACCTCAGACCGTAAAAAGTTTCTGGGCTGCAGCAAAAGGAAACTATGCAAAGATAAGTGAAAAAGATTATACAGCTTTTGCGTCGATGTCGTAAATTTTCCCAAGTTCTTTGGCCAGTTTTCTAGGTTCAGAATTTTCTGTCGCAGTTGTAGCTTGCAATATCAATAAGCAGCATAGCACAGTAGCTATGCTTCCAGTGCCATTCCTTTTGTCTTTTGGAACTCGCTACCTAAGCTTCTTGTCCTTGCGTAGCTTCATTGACTCCGTTATAGATGGCGTTGCAGCTGCAGCTGGTTTTGTTTCGCTAACAGGAAGTTGACAGATCTTGTCTAGCGATCTTTTTACTTCCCCCTCGTTTGTTTTAACTGTGTCTAACCGGACTTTATCATCTGGTCCTTTAGTCGTACTAATGATTCTTCCCATTGGCCATCTTGCAGGGAGAGTGTTCTCATGTTTTATAAGAACCAGCTGTCCCTCCTTCAGATTTGGCTTTTCTTGGCGCCATTTGGTTCGCTGTTGCAATGACACCAGATACTCCTCTTTCCATTTCTTCCAAAAATCCCCTCTGATGCGTTGAATAAGATTCCATCTATCCAATTCCCAAAAGGGTTTCAGGTCCTTTAGATTTATTGATGTAGTGGCACTTATAATTTTTTGCTTTGCTGCTCGAGTTATATTTCCGGACACAATCCATCCACAATCCATTTTTTGTCCCAAGATTTCATTCACGGTTTTTATTTTCTCCATCATAATCAGGGAAAATAGATCCACACCTATCACCATGTCAATTCTGCTTGGCTCGTTGAATCGTGGATCTGCTAGCCTGTAGCCCTTCCACTCTTTGTTGATATCAATATCAAACTTTTTGTTGGGAAGGGCACTATGGAGTGTTGGTAAAACCAATGCTTCCGTTGAGGCTTTGAAGCTGCTTGGAATTTTTGGTTTGATCGTCAGGTGGACACTATTTTTTGATAATTGAGTAGTCTGGGAGATACCTTCGACCTCTATACTCCTTACTCTGGGAATCCTTAATATTTGTGCTGCTTCCTCTGAAATCAGCGTCTTCTGGGATCCACCGTCAATAAGCGCCCTCAACTTTGCTTTGTTTTTCACTAAAACAACAGCTGTAGCCAATAGTGTGTCTTGGCCTTGCTTAAGGCTATTGCTGTTGATACTGCGTTTTGTGTCTTCATGCAGAAGGCTGTTGTGTCTTTTGGAGCATAGATTGAATGTAATTTCCTTTCTGCAGTCGATAGCATTATGCTTTCCAAAGCATCTAAAGCACATGCTGTTCTTTTGAACGAATTCTTTTCTTTTTTCGATTGTTTGTGCTCTGAATTTGAGACACTTTATCATATCGTGGCCATCCTTAGAGCAAAAGGCACACGATCTAACTTGCACTTTTCTTGTAGCAAGCTGAGCGGTATTTTTGGTAATGGCATTTACTGAGTTGTATTGTTGCTCAATAAACTCCAGTACATCTTGGAAGGACTGTATAGCTCTTGCCTTTTTTACATGCTGTTCATACAGCTGCAAGGCTTCTGGCGAAAATTTCCGCAGCAGAATTTCTGCTAAAATTACGTCAGCAGAGCTTCCTATTTTTCCTTTTTGCTTTATGATGAATATGCTCTCGGTTGCAGTATCCAAAACCTTCCCTAAATTTTTCTCATCATGGGGCAGCAAGCACTCCAGTTCCATTAATTTGTTGAAGTGTTGGGAGAATATTCTCATAGCGTTTGCAGATAAGCTCCCACGCTGCTGCATAGTTAGCTGCTGATCCCGTTATCAAATGGCTAACCACCATTTGAGCTTCTCCTTTTAAGCAGGCTCTTAAATATCTCAGCTTCCGTGTGTTGCTGAGATCCTTCCTGCTGTCTATTAGTTCAGAGAACAGCTCGTAAAATGTTGGCCATTCCTTCGCATTTCCATTGAACGTTGGAAGGTCCACTTTTGGGAGTTCTGGCACGTCGTAGTTGGAACTTTTAAACTGTTCCAACTTCATTTGAAGTACCATCTCCAGTGCGGCAACTTCAGATTGCAGAATGTCTGCCTCATCTTGATCAAAGGCAGTTCTGTCATACTTGTTTTCAAGCAGTTTCAGTGTGTTCGTCACGTTGGACCAATGACTTTTCATCATTGCGAGCTGCTTGACTAGTTCAATCTCACTTGAACTATCTAGGGTTTCGTAGATTAGGCCCATCTGTTGCCTCACCCTGTCCGCTCTTCTATCCACCAGTTGAACCAGATTATCAACTGGACTGGAGCTCCGAGCTGATGCGGTATCAGATAATTTTGATCCGCTTGGTATATTTATCTCTTCAAGTGTTTCTACCATTAATTGTGACTCCTTGTAGGCCTTGATAGCATCCACAGTTTTAATAAATATTTTATCATTAAAATATTGATGATAGCCAACTCCCAATTTTACCAGCGCATTGTTGTAAATCGGACTAGCAATGCTTCTATTGCTGGTATAGATGCCTTTTCCTTGATGGCTTGCAGTATTTTGTTCTGCAACTCTCCTTGGTCTTGCATCAATTTCACAGCCAAGGAAAAGCAAGAACACAATGTTTCACCTTATAGTCCTAGTACTTTAAGGCGTGGTCTTTTATTCTGTGTTTCTTACCACTGGTGGGGGAAATAACAGAATCACTCGAAAACCTTGGTCTTTTTACTTTGATCGCTGGTTTTTTCTTCTGTGTTTCTTACCACTGGTGGGGGAAAACAACAGAATTGCTCGAAGGACCAAAATGTGTAATGAGTTCAATTCGGGTGTTATAATCTAACTGACTCGCTACTGCGTCTTTTATTCATTCTGACATAGGTTCTTATCATCTAATTATATAATGCAGCGCTTGTAAGTCGCCGCAGTCTCCGTTTGTAAGTGCAGCTGAGTTTGATTCTTAAATCTATGTTTGAGGCCTATGACCGCGCTAATCACCTCCCGCGTGGTCATATCTCTTGACACTTCGGCAATGGGCCGCTGCAATCGTACTTATCTGTAGTTGCCACTTATGCTGCCTAGTGACATGTTTATTGCAGCCCATAAATATAACATATTTATAGTTTGCCTATTTATCATATCTAAACACATATTTAGACAGTTTAAGAAAAAGAAATCTTTTATTAAA